AGCAGGAAGCACTAAAAATCTGTTTGTTTGTTTGTGTTTTTTTTAATTTTGCCCTTTAAAAATAAAACTAGTTCAGCTGTTGAGTTTATCATTTAAAAATGTTGCTTTTAGTTTTCTGTATTTAAGAGAAACAATTCCTGTTCAGATTCAAATGTCAGCATTTGGTGGCTGCATATGTTGGTGTATAGATCCATCATGGGCTAAAGAAAGGAGAGAGGGGCAATCTGCACCAGTATGGCAATGAGAAGAATCACAGAATCATAGACTATTTTGGGTTGGAAGGGACCCTCAAAGGTCATCTAGTCCAACCCCCCTGCAGTGAGCAGGGACATCTTCACAAGAGCAGGTTGCTCAGAGCCCCATCAAACCTGACCTTGTGTATCTCCAGAGATGGGGCCTCCACTGTCTCTCTGGGCAACCTGTTCCAATGATCCACCACCTTCATATGGAAGAACTTTTTCCTGATATCCAACCTAAATCTGCCCTTTTCTAGTTTAAAACCATCACCCCTCGTCCTATTGCTCCATGTCCTTGTGAACGAGATTCCTTTGCATTTCACAGGCACAGTCCCGTGGGATTCAGAGTCCTGGGAAAGGATTTATCAAGCTGCTGTTTCTCTTTCCCTTGCAGTAGGGGATGTACCAAGGCATGACAGCTCTCCAGTCCACGTGCCATGCCCTTCCCCAACAGCTCTGACCTCAGCTCATCCTCCTTCATCTTGGCCAGCATCCCAGGACTGGAGACTGCCCATTTCTGGATGGCAATCCTGCTGTGCTCCATGTACATCTTGGCAGTCACAGGTAACTGTGTGGTGCTCTTCATCGTGAAGACGGAGCCCAGCCTCCACGCTCCCATGTACTTCTTCCTCTGCATGCTGGCTGTCATCGACCTGGCCTTGTCCACATCCACGGTGCCACGCATCCTCTCCTTCTACTGGTTCAACACCAGGGAGATCAGCTTCAGTGCTTGCCTTGTCCAGATGTTCTTCATCCACACCCTCTCAGCCATCGAGTCTACTGTCCTCCTGGCCATGGCTGTGGACCGGTACGTGGCCATTTGCCACCCACTGAGACACGCTGCCATCCTCACCAACGCTGCAACAGTGAAAATAGGGCTGGTAGCCATGGCCAGGGGAGTCACCTTCTTCCTGCCTTTGCCTTTGCTCCTCCTGCCCCTTCCCTTCTGCCACTCCCGGCTGCTGTCACACTCCTTCTGCCTGCACCAGGACGTGATGAACCTGGCCTGTGCCAACACCACCCCCAGCATGGTGTATGGCCTCACTGCCATCCTGCTGGTCATGGGGCTGGACGCCATCCTCATCTGCCTCTCCTACATCCTGATCCTCAAGGCTGTGTTGCGGCTGGCGTCGTGGAAGGAGAGGCTCAAGGTATTCAGCACCTGCATTGCCCATATCTCCGTGGTCCTGGCTTTCTACGTGCCCCTGATTGGGCTGTCAGTGGTGCACAGGTTTGGGAAGGACCTGGCTCCACTGGTCCATATCATCATGGGCAACGTCTACATCCTGGTGCCCGCTGTGATCAACCCTATCATCTACGGAGTGAGGACCAAAGAGATACAGAGGAGGATCCTGAATTTAATTCATATAAACAATGACAGAACTGCCCAGTGACCTGTGCTTGGCCACTGTCTCCTGTATCCTTACACCAGCTCACCTCGTTTTACACTTAGAGCCCTTGGTACAGGACTGTCCTCTGCTGTCATGGCACCCAGCACATGGTAGGACACTCCCAGGTGCTACCACAAGGCAAAAAGTCAATATCAATTGTAAACTCCTTCCAAGAGCATTGACCCTCACCAGACTCGGAGACAATTCACCACAATGATCTAAATCTGACTCTGACCCAGCTGGCAGCACGATGGGAAGGAAAAGTGTCTCAGCAAACTAATCAAGTTGTCTTGACATTGCACTTCTTCGTTCCCACCTCACCCATAACAACAGCAGAGCTGAGCAAATGCTGCAGTGGGTTTTGGATGGTTTAGTTAATTCATGGTTTCTGCTCGTGGCACGTTCACTTGCCAAAAACATTTTGGCAACGTTTTTGCCAGAAACTTTGGCTGTATCAACAATCTCTAAGTAAAATAATTACAGCAAGTAATTATTACAGATGCATGAATGCACTTCAGGAGAAGTCCTCCACCTCCGTGGTCTTGTTCTGACCTATTGGGTGTTCAGTCAAGACAGTTGAGCTTCCTTGTAGCAGATGCTCTAGAAGAATTTCACACCCAGAGTTACTGGTAGCAATTGGAAAACTAGTTTCAATTAATTAATATTCAATAAAATGACAACATCTCAAGAGAAAAAATGAGCACATTATAAATGTTTGTGATACTTCCAAGCTGAAGGAAGTGATATTTACAATATTTACATGCTTAGAATTCCTAAGAAATGATGAATTAAGTTGAAGAGCTTCAGCTTTCAAGGTTTTTTTATACTTCCTGGGTATTCCCCATGAAACAGAGCTCCTGACAGCCTTTCCTCTGTTTGTTCTCAGGCTCTGCCAGGGGGATACTACTACAAAACTCCCTTAATACAATGAAAGCCAACAAGCCTTAAGGCCAGTGAAGAAGGTCTGAAAGCAAACTGCATTTGTTTTCACACCATCACAGAACGGTTGAGGTTGGAGACACCTCTGAAGGTCACCTTGTCCAACCCACCCAGGTGAAGCAGGGCCAGCTAGAGCTGGTTGCCCAGGGCTGTATCCAGACAGCATTTGAATCTCTCTAAGGATGGAGATACCACTTTATATTTCAGAAAAAATGTTAAAGATCCTGGGAAAGATCTTGTATAATTTTACAAAGAATCATACAGATGTGAAAAGTGTTCACCTCTAGATTTTTCCCTCATGGTTTTTGTTGTTTTGGGTTTTTTTTAAATGAATCTGCTCCTTTATAAACAGAAAGAAACAAGCAATCTCCTCTTTTTCCTCTCAGTTTAAACTCTTACCTTGCTGTTGGTTATCATGAATTGTGGTCTTCATCCTTGAGGTGGCTCCATTGCCGTGCACAGGAACGTGTTTGCTGTTCCCACTGCAACAGTCCCTGGGATTCCTCCAGTGAGAGGTGCCAGGGGTGTGTGATCTCTCGTTTGAACACGATGGCTTTCACAAGGGAGTAGAGCACAAAGCCTTGCACAGCAGGACCCTTCACAGATGACTAGAGCAGCACCAGGTGCTATTAAGGAGGTTGATCTACACTCCATCAGGAGGCCCAGGTGCTCTTGAACACTGATGTCTCCATCAGTAGATGGTTATCACAGAATCACAAGGTAAGTCAGGTTGGAAGTGACCTCAGGACATCTTGAATCCAACCTCCTGCTCAAAGCAGGGGCAGCTTTAGGGTCAGATAAGGCTGCTCAGGACTTTACCCAGTTTGGTGTTGAAAGCTTCCAGGGATGGATGTTGTACAACCTCATTGGGTCTCTATTACAATGCTTGATTGCTCTTACTGTGAAAAAGCTGCTCTCTATATCCAGTTTGAACCTCTCTTGTTTCAACCTACTCTTCTCTCATTCTCCTGCCGTGCCATGTTGTGAGGAGCTGGCTCCATCATCTTGATAAGGGTAGATGAAAGCTGTTCTTCTGCTATTGGATCTTCCCAAAGACTTTTATTTCCCAGGCTGAGCAAGCCCATTTTCCTGAGCCTCTCCCCATGGAGCATTGCTCCAGCCACCCTGGGAGCCATCAGCTGAACTCGCTCCACTATGTTGATGCCTTTTTTTTGCACTGGGGCCCAGAACCAGATTCAGTATCTGGATGTGGTTTAGCAAGTGCTGAGTAGACTGTGGGATGATCCTTTGGGGTCATGGTTAGAAAGGTTAACCCAGAGCCCAAAACAACAAATAACAGGATGAGCTGATATTCATCACACTGTGCGAGTGGAAGTTTGCTTAACAGTCTAAGGTTTAAGGGAGAAGTTTCATTTAGTGTTAGTCCAGTCTGCTCAGGGTTTTATCCAGTTGGGTCCTAAAAACCTTCAAGGATGGAGGCAGCACAACCCCTCTGGACAACCTTCCTTTGTCTGGCATGTGCTCCTGTTGCCCCTGTACACGTTGGCTTAATGTAAGTAAGAAAAATAAATTAATGTGAAAAAGAATTCAAAAAAACCAACCCCACATTAAAAAATGGATGTGAAAAAGAAATAAATTATTTGAGAAAAACAAGGGAATATGTGGAAATTGGTCAATGAACAATGACTTCCATCAGGGAGGAGAGAAGACAGATCTGAGTGCTGCACTCAGGAGCTCTTGTGTCTTGTCCATAACTTGTAGGTGAGCTAAAAGAGGCACCTTAGCAAAGACACACTCTGTCTTGCACCAGGGCCCTCAAACCACAGCAATATTTGGGGGAGTTTGGTGCAGTTTCTCCCGGTTGCCAGCTGACACTGGCACTACCACGGGTGTCCTTTTCGCAGCCAGTGCTCGTATAGTTCCAGTCTCCATGAAACACATCTCGTTATAACCTTTTCTGCTCAATTAAGGCACATTTTATTTCAAAATAAATCCTTTCATTTAAGTGAGTCACAAGTAGTTGCCATCTGGGACTTAAAGACAATTTTGCCCCCTGTCATTTTTGTCATATTCTGTTTTATTAAAACTTAGAAGGGTAAAAAAATTTTCATAAAAATGAAAACAATCTGTACCTGCCTAATGTGATTTGAGAAGTGTGAAATAATTTCTCAGAGGCGTGCTATGGGTCTAAACTCTTTTTGGATGGCTGTGGCATTGAGAAACGGCTCCTGCTCATTCTCCATATGCTCCTTATTTTTAATTTTTTTTCCTTTTGTGCTGAGAGAAAAATTAATAAAGAAAAAAATGAATGAACCATCCTGAAAATGCTGTATGATATTTCCTGGCCGTCTCTTTCTCAGAGCAGGGAGGCATGACAAATTTCTCCTGGGTACAGATGAAAACTGCGTGAGATCCTCGCTCTCCATCTTGTTTTCCAAACTTTAGTCACGGAGCGTTGCTTTGCTGAGGAAGAGAGAGAACATGTCTTCTTCCTCAACGTGTGCTTTGCTGATGACTATGACAAACCCTTTCCAGCTGAAATGTCCATTTCTCAGGCCCCAGGTCACCTCTGCCCTGCAGCAGAACCCAGAGCGTGGGGTGTCTGGGCCCATGTCTCCTCCATGAGCATGGCCAAGAGCCAGAGGTGAGGATGGATGGACTTAACTGGGACCCAGATGGCTCCAGGAAGGTGAGGAAAGAGCCAGGTTTCCTGGTTTTTCAGTGGGACAAGGAGAGAGAGGGACAGAGGGGAGGACAGGATGTACAGTGAGGGGGAGAGGGTTGGGAGTCACAGGAGCTTGGAGGTGGCAATAGAGGCAACAAGGAGTTGCATGGGGCTGGAGCAGTTGTTGGAGATCTCCTGGGGGATCTCCAAGTCCTCCTCTACCTCTTCCTCTTCCTCTTCCTCTCCCTCTCCTCTCTCTCTCCAAGTGCTCCTGGGATTGGACCTGGGGACTCGGTATCTTTGCACACGCTGGCATCTCTCCTGCCCCAGACCCTCTCAGTTGGCTGCCTCGGGGTTTGATACAGTTCCCCAGTTATGGAAAGAGGGTTTTATTTGCATGACTTGCTCTGTAATTGAGATTGGCATTGCCCAAGATTTGGCACAGAGATGATAACATTGTGTGAACTCCACAAAAACAGCACAGGGAGGTGCAGTGGGTCACCCAACTGTGAGAGTCACTGAACAAATGTGTGGAGGGCTCTCAGATCTGCCTCTCATTGTTCCACCATTGTCCATCTGTGTAATGGGGATGATGTTACTGGCTTCCCTCTCTCAGCCTGTGTTAGAGCTACGGATGAAACGTAGCAGAGAAAGGCTGGATTGCTGTTGTTTGCAAAGTACGTCCTAATT